CGAGCACACTTACGCTCAAGCGACCAGACATATGAAAAACATCGAAATTTATGATTCACAGCTTTTGACGAGAGGTTGTCTACGTGTGCGCTGGGCCTCTGTACCGAATTTTCATCTCAAGACCTACAGAAGCTACAGGGCTGAAAACTTGGGGAACTTAATCTACATGCACGTGTGGGCCTCCATCCACAAAATGGGCGGCCTTACCCGCGTGGTACCCACGTAATAGCTCGCCAAAGTTTTTTAAGGGTAAGCTGCTAACTCGGGAACTAGAAACGCTTAGGAGCTGGAATTTTAAGAGGATGTTCCCCGTCCAAGTAGGAATTAATGAGCTCAAACACAGCCTTCGGGTAAGCGTGGTACCCGCGTACAGGCCCGCCAAAATGTTTTTCGGGTAAGTTCACAACTCGGGGATCTGAGAAGCTAGAAAGCTGAAACCTGAAGAAAATATTCCCCACCTAATTAGGCATTAATGTGCCCAAACCCAATCCTCGGGTTTGCGTGATACCCACGCACCGGCCCGCCAAAGTTTTTTTTCGAGTAGATTGATAAATAGGGAATTTCAAAAGCTAAAGGACTGTAATTTTAAGAGGATATTCCCCGCTCATCTAAGTCTCACTGATCTCAAATCTAAATTCTGGGCACGCATGGTACCCACGTACGGACTCACCAAAGTTTTTCTCGGGCAAGTTGCTAACTCGAGAACCTGAAGAGTTAGAAGACTTTAGTTTTAAAATGATGTTCCCCGTCCACCTAAGTCTCAATGAGCTCAAATCCAGAGATCGGGTATGTATGGTACCCACGTATCGACCCGTGAAAGTTTTTTCCAGTAAGTTACTAACTCAGGAGCCAGGAAAGCTAGAAAGCTGAAATTTTAAGAGAGTTTTTCCTGACAGTTCGGACAGTCAGTCCTAATTTGTTTAGCTAGAAGCATTTGCCGGAAAAAGCGGTGCCGGTAGCAACAAAAACTGCGGGGAACTATGCAAAAAAACGCATCTTCGCACGGGCAGCCCATACGTTGGCCAATTAATAAAATCATTAGCATCGATTTCAGTGAACGATCACAGTTAGGAAACGAACATTGTTTCAGAATCAGTGTTTTCTATTTCGGTTCGTTCCTCAGCTCGAACTCACACCTGCATTTATTTGTCCGATTGAAGTTATGAACTTAATCCAAGTTTTTTGCCTCTCATTAACGAACAAAAAATCCTAGTTCGCGCTGGCCCTCGGTTCATAGCAGCCTCCAGAATTTAGAAAACAGAGGTTGAAGCTAATTTCAAATTGTTTTTGCAGTAATCACTCACAGTACTATCTTTTCTGTATGTTGTTCCTCAGTATTAGCTTATGTTTGGACCTGACTTCACAGGTAGGACATGCTGGGGATCCGTATCTGAATTTACAGGGCCTCGAAACACGTGCATCACATTTAGTCGTTGAACGTCTGTGTTGGATGTGTGATTGCACAACTGCAGAGCACTGTTAACATCGAAAGCATCATATCAACAAACCAACTACTAAACACTATTTTTGTGTATTTGCGCATTTGTGGGCGTGAATATGTGTCAATAAGAGTATGTGTAGATATTTATATGATACTGCGTGTACGTACGTGGGTGTGCATGAGTGTGTGCGTATTTACATGTATGTGTGATTATGAACATGTGTGTGTCCACTTCTTAGGGGGTGCGGGTGCTCACGAGTATGTGTTTGTGCATGCTTTTGTTGTTACCCAAATGCATTGAATAACGGTGCGCATCAAATGATGGACGCCGTGGATCTACGTTTTTGCCGACAAACAACTATATTCGGCTCCGTCAGCTTCAACGAGGTACCTGTCCGCTTACGTATGTGTACCTCTTTGCGGCTCCTAACACTTCACGCATATTCTTTGCCCTCATTATATACACTTTGCTGACACTTTTTTTATGCATGTTTACTTCCCACTTTTTCCACTTAACACATCAAGAACTGGGGAAAATTGCAAGTGTGTATACGTTAAACTGAGGTGACGTGGAATTGAACTTGTTTTAGGATTCACTCGGAACGACACGTTTGAAGTTTCGATTTCCTCCACATTACAACACAAAACACATGGTAAATAGGAATAACATTTTTTCGCATTTTTTTTTTTTTACCCACTTTCAGCTCGAGAAGCAGAAAAGCTAGAAAGCTGGAACTTTGAAAGTATGTGACCACCCCGAAAGTATGTGATATGCGACCCTCTTGTTTTAATACTATCATTCGCGTACATTTAAGTCCTCGTAAGGAGCCTTAAAAAATATGCAAATTTTTTGACGGGGAATCGAATCGGGGAATCAAAAATAGAAAGCTGAAATTTGATAAAGATGTTTTATTTTTCAGCGTGGGCTAAAAATTTCAAATTGAGCTTTAACGTATGCATACATCTCGTATACTAAAGTCATTATTTCGCAGTCGTTGACATTCAAGAACTAAATTAATTAGGATGTTTAAACTAAACAAGAGAGTATTTGTTTTCCATAATTGGGCATGTAGACATAAAATGATCTTTGGCATACGCATGTGTCATGAGTTCCACGACACGTAAGAAATTTCGCGTAACAAAAACGATTTCGCCAACTAGGCATGCTAAGGTGCTGAAACTTTACGAGGATGTTTTATGCCTGTGTGCAAAAGCAGCATCTCAATTTGAACGTTAAAGTACACCTAGGTCTCACGTGTGCCCCATGTGAGTTTCTAGTTCCAGACACTGCTGGCATCCAAACGACTCGATAACCAGAATCAACAAGAAGCAGTCTGCGTTTAGTTTGCGGGCCAAGAAGTGTATGATAAACTTCTGCCTAGGGATGGGCCTTGCATACAGGCGCATGAAATGATTAAACTGCAACACAGCAGTTGTACCCCAGTAGTGCAGGCGATCTCTGTACAGAATGGAATCACGCAAAAACGCATGAACGCAGTAGTTACTAAAACACGGTTCGGCTTTGCTCAACCGGGTCCATACACGACCTATTGCCGATTTTTTCGGGCGTCTTTACCCCACTACGACATAGAACGCTAGATGCCGCAGATGGAGGTGGTAGTGGAGAGGAGCTTTGTGTATGGGTTCCGGCTGCAGGAAGTGGGGGTAGAACGCCCCCCCTCGCCCCCTTCCCCCCTCTTCCTCCCTCTTATACGCAGGTCCCCAACCTTGGTATTTTTGCCCGCGTGAAGACGGTCAGGAGTTTCTTTCAATAGTAAGATTAGGATTGGGGCGACCTGGGCATTGGTACGTGAGATACAATGTTAGAATAGTTTGGTACAGTTCTCTTTGTGCTGTTATATGCTGTTGTACCTATGGTTTAATAACCCAGATTTGAAGAACTCATAAAAACTTCTTAATTTGTGCGTTAAAATTTATCGTGTGCTCGAGAGCCAGCAGCATATGCTGCGTCGAAGCTGAGTGGGTGTCG